GCTGAATGACTTAATAGACAAAGTATCTATGATTTATTCATACCCAAAGCTATGCCTATAAAGTTTTTTTTAATGTTTTTTTTTTTTTTTTTTTTTTAATTTTGATAAATAATTATTCATTAATATCTTTTACTGATCATCACCCTCTTCGGGACTAAAAGCAGTTATCCCTCGAAACCACACTGTCTCTACCCAACCCACTTGCGGCTAACTGCTCAACTACCAGCCTACTGTATTTAACTGATTGTTGACTATCAGGATTATATGATATTTAAAAAAAAATATATATTCTTAATTTCATTTAATCATTTATTTATTCAACACACAACGATATATTTTCAGATCGTCTACGGCAGTGATGATGCTAATGGTAATAATCATAATGGTATTAAAAATAATTGCAATGATACAGGGGCGGTATTATATACATCGTTATACACGTATCCCGGCCTACATCACACCACTCAGCGAAGTACTTAAGTGATATCTTTGAAAAGTCTGAGTTCCGCTGAGCGATTTCCCTCATCGAGTGTATGAAACGATAGGATAGATATTTTATTTCACCTATTTTCAAGCAAATTATAAGTTTTAACTGTAAAACAAAAACATCTTTCATGTCAATTTAAAATAATTACACATTTTTAAGCGCCATATACATGAAATAAATGAATATTTTACGGTACATATTAACCGATTTGTTTAAAATCCGCGTCCGATTGCATTCCGTCGAGTCCCAGATTCCTCGCGTTTCCTTCGAATCCGCCGGCGAAAATTGTGAAACGGAATAAGCCGTGACTTGGACCCCAAGCCCAAGAGGACTGCTAAATGGAACAGAGATGAAGAGTTGAGCCTTTGCTACAACATTCATAATATTGTAGTTTGCATCAAACACTCTCTGGGTATTAATGCTGTGATAGTATTGTTTTTTGTTTATATATTCAGCCTTCAGCTGCAGTGATCCTAATATGAGTGCCATCAGTTACACCCACCACTCCTGTAAACCCATATTGTTCCATATATTCTGCTTGCTTTTGCCCGGCTGGGAACTTTAAAAACCTTGCTTGGAATGCCGGCGATACAAGGGCATCTAGCGTTTCATTGAACACGTGCCAGAGATAGCACGTGTTCGATTTATATGAGGGCTTATTTGACCTCTGATCATGTCGGCCGCATACATAAATCCTTCTCGATCTAATCTGAACCGTTTCTTCAACTCGTGATCACTATATCTGTTCAATACATCTTTTCTTGTCCGTATCCTTGCTCGCCGTTGCGCTGCTTCCATTGCTGTTGCGCGGACCCCAAGTGCCACACGGCGAGCTGTGTCCTCCCGTTGCACACTTGGCCTCATCGTCCAGTTGAGTGCACTTAGGGACGCTGAGGAATTTGATAAATAAGACTTAAGTAATCTACTCAAAGTTGAGTGCTGCATCATGAAATTTCGTCTGCTAAGTGCACTTATGGATACAGTATTTTGATAAACACCGCCCCAGGTGTTTTTGATAATGGTAAAGGTAATGATAGCAATAGTAAATGATTATAATCATAATAACAATACTACTAATAAAAACAATGATGATGCAAAGGGTCAATATAACAAGAATGAAGTTAATAACATTAAGCGTGAATTTAATAACAATTTTTGGAAAATGCCAGAGAGAATAATATTAGTATAGTAATAATATTCATGACAACGGTTATGACAACAATATAGATGTTAACAATAATACAACACTAACAATTGTGATGATAATAATGGTAAAGTTAATAAAATGATAATACTACATGTGGTAACAATCATGATAACAGCACAAATGATAGGAATGAAAATACTGGTTATAAGTCATAAGATAAAAACAAGTACATTCTTAACAATAAGTAAGATTATGAGACTACAGTAGAAACGAATATAATATGATGCTAACAATAAGTACAGTGATAGTTAAAATAATAATGACAATTAAGATATGAACAGTACATAACATCAATGATGTCCCGAACTCTGTAGTAAAGCCCTCATCAAGAGCAGCAACGGACACTCGTCGGTGAGAATAGACTCGTACGAACAGGCTCCCTGAGTGAGCTTCCGCGCGCATGCACTCAAGCTCATGGAGATAGTGATTTCCTTCTCCTTTTTCTTAACCTTCATGAATATTGTTCTTATTTTTCTCAGTTGACATGTTATATAAGAACGATGGAAAGAACAATAACAGTGATGATAATAATCATGATAGAAATAATAACGATAATGATAATAATAGTGATAATGAAACTAATGATAAAATAATTATGACAGTGATAATAATTATAGTAATGGTAATAACAATGACAATGCTAATAATCATAATAATACAAATGACAATAAAAACTAATAACAAAAGTGATAATGATGATCATTATCGCCATCATAATCGTCATCGTCAGCACTGCCATTATCTTCATGATCCTCCTCCACGCTGGCCTCCGTCTCCTCCAGCCCTGGGGAACAGTCTGACGAGGTTCCCGCCCTTGGGAAGGAGGATCAACTCCGCCAGAAGCTTGAGGTCCTTCCGAGGGACGACGCTCTCCACGCGGAACCTGCGTAGGATGCTGCACAGGATGGCCTTCATCTCGAGCAGGGAGAACTTTTGCCCTGCCGGAGGAAAGGAGAAGGCTGACGCAGAGGTGGCGGTCTTGGGGTCGAGCAAGAACAGAACTTTTGGTTTAGCTTTCGGAAGGAAGGAAATCCGATCATCACTTCCATTTTTGTTTATAAGACTATTTTCATGATAATTTTCTGAAGGCGATATAAATGATGCGGCAGCAGTTTAAGCCTCTGTGACCTGTTGCTAAGTAGAATTATATTTCCATTCAGAAACAAATAGCATTGTTTCTCACCGTAAAAATGGCTGAGAATTAACAAAAACAAATTGACGTTCAGGAAACCCTTTCCTGCAAATGAGAGCAATGGATAAACACGTTAAGGTGAAAAGATAAAACACCGAGCCAGATACCTGTCGCCTGAAGGGCTTAGTGACAAAAACATAAAAGGAAAGAGAGAGAGAGAGAGAGAAGAGAGAGAGAGAGAGAGAGAGAGAGAGAGAGAGAAGAGAGAGAGAGAGAGAGAGAAGAGAGAGAGAGAGAGAGAGAGAGAGAGAGAGAGAGACGCATGGCAAATTCTTCAGGAGCCCAATATGTGGACACTGGGCCTCTTTTTGGGCGATTCTGAGGAGGGAGGCTCAGTGACTACCCGAGGCTCTTTTGTGCCCGGCAGCCATTTTTTCCCTGAATCTTTCAGGCAGTATAGTAGACTCTCGTCTTAATATTTTTTCCCACTTAACCTGTCTTGTACACCCCTTGAGTACATCAGCAGACATATGTAAATTGCCACTTGGTGTAGACAATGTCTGTAGGGTACCTGAATACATAGGCCGTTGTACTGCAGCGCACTGACACTGCCTGCGTTGCGTGCATGCTGTGGAGAGGATGAATCGAGTAGGCCTAGCCGAGCGAGTCCTACACTTCACACGCAAAGTCATTTTGAGTCATTTTGAACTTTCAAATTAAACAGGTTGTCTGATAATATCTTTCTTATCCTTTTTTGGTTGACTTTACATCTACCACCGCGTGCTTAATGTTTACCCGCAGTGACGTCATTCGACATCGATCTCTGATTGGACAAGAGTCTACTATACTAATTAAAAGGTAAAAAAAAAAAAAAAAAAAAAAAAAAACGCGGGCGGGTAGGCTCGTGGGACAGCCAAGGACTTCACATCTCGGGCAAGTCGACTAAATCTGTTAAGAGAAAGTAGCGGGCCGAGGACCTGGTGCTCGCGGCCGGAAATGGACCTCAGAGGCAGGGCGTGTCCTCCTTGGCGTCAACCCCTTCCACTGATATCTCGATACATTCCCAGGATCCTGCTGACTCCCCAACATACTCACAGCGCTCTTCCTAGAAACTCACCGATGCAGTTCCTGGGGCCGGCGCTGAAGGGGACGTAGGCGTAGCTGTGTCTCCTGGTGGAGTTCTGGGGCAGGAAGCGGTCCGGGTCGAACGCCTCCGGGTCGGGGAACTGCTCCGGGTCGTGGTGGAGGCGGTACACGTGGATCACGACGCTCGTGCCGGCGGGAATGCTGTAGTTGTCTGGTGGACGAGGCAGGTTTATTCATTCATTCAATTATCTATTTATTCTTTAACGAAACGAAGGTGTTCAATTTTTTGAGAGAAAAATAGGTTTTGTTGAATTATATACTTCGTTTTCCTCGTGCTATGGTTTTACGCCAATTAGAACACTACTATATCCCCGTTATTGTGGTAGAGGTGAGTGGGTATTTAGCGTTCATAGATTATGCATCACACACTTTCTAGAACCCAGACTGTCTTAGAAAATTCCTTTGAAAATTAATAATCGTTTGTTGGATTACTGACATGGAGAGTAAACTGCATTATTAGTGATTCCATGATTGTAAAATATTGTACTGGAGTTGATGTCGTTTACGTTATATGTTATCTAAATGCAGGAATGCGCAAGCTATTTGATGCAGGATGTAGGGAATATAAAATGGTTAATATTAATAGACTATGAGGGACTTTTGCTAATAGCAATGGAATCCGAAACAATATTTGCAGTTCTCTCTCTCTCTCTCTCTCTCTCTCTCTCTCTCTCTCTCTCTCTCTTCTCTCTCTCTCTCTCTCTCTCTCTCTCTCTCTCTCTCTCCGCAAACTTACTAATAACGGCGTCTTCCTTCAGCTCTCTAATGATCACAGGAATCGGGGGGAAGAGCCGCAGCGTCTCCTTCAGACACAGCTCCAGGTACTTCATCTCCCGCAGGTCGGACGCGGACGGCGCCCCGCCCGACCCGCGCAGCACGGCCTCGATCTCCTCGAAGACGCGCTCCTGCGCAGGCGAAAGAAGTTGCCGCTATATCTATATCTACAGCTGTCTGTCTGTTTTTCTATGTATCTATCTTTATACATATATGCATACATACATACATACACACACACACATATTATATAT